TATTAATATAATATTTCATAGAACAAAACATATAATTATTTAATTGAGTCACCAAAAATGTTGAAGATGAACAATAATACAGAATATTGCTATTATTTACGCCATGCTTTTCAAAGTATAAGCAATCATAAATCGCTTAATCATTTGGCAATTAGGTGCTTTGTGGCAAACAGTAAAAAGCGCTGAAAATCGAATTGAATACAAGTACGAGAACATACCCTGTAGGAAAAAATGTTTGCACCTTTATTACCAAAAGTCGATACTCATTTACTGGTTGAGTGAATATTTTAATAGAGTTACATATTTCAATGAAAATAACACGTTTTCGAAACAACTTTGACAACGACTTTGACAACTATTTTTTTATAAACTGACCAGTCCGTTTTATATGCCTTCGAGTTAATGCTGAAAATCATTAATTCTTATTTCTTAACCGGTTTTATACTTCTCGCAATGAGCATGCGCAGCAATAAGGGATGAATAATTCTGAATACACTTAAGTCCAAATGAAAAAGTCAGCCCCAAAAGAAAGTGCGCTGTGTCTTTTAGTTTATGTCTCGGCATAGCTTGACTGTATGAATGATTGTATGACATATAGATATGTATATAAATATCTATGGTTCCTTTTGTTATTGAGCCTTTCATGCCTTTTTAACACCACTCATGTGTGATAATGCCAACAGCATCATGAATATTGCGTTAATTGCAAATCACCGTAAGCGCCGACGGGCAAATAAGAAATAAAGAAAGAGGGTACCGTCTGTCTACAGAAGAATTGTAAAGATGAAGAGAGTTAGAGTAATTCAGTTTAGAAATCTTAAAGCTGATTTGAGAAGAATTTGCACGTACTATTTACGTAGTTTATAATTTGTCAGTAATAAAGAGTTCTAACAGAAATATATAATACTTTCTGTATCTATTTCTGTACACAAATATGCGTGTATGTATATGAAGAAGTCAATTCTATGTACCTATACTTCATACAAATATATGTCTATATATTTGTAAAATGCGGTAATGTTAATAATCTATTGTTTCTCATGATTTGCAACATTTCGTGGTCACCTGGCTGTTAATGGCTTTTAAATGTGTTGACAACATAATTACTTCAAATAAGTCAAATTCATTTAAATCACTTTTCTTTTTAGCATAATCGATTTCCATTTGTCACTACTCTCTCGAAAAAAACCACATATGAAGGCAACAACAAAATATCGAACTGCTTTCGGCAGAAAGATAACCTTTAGACGCTTCATTAAAATGATCTTAACTGATTAGAACCTATTTGATTTAGTCAATGCATTTTATTTATCCAGCGGCTTGTTCGATTCGATATTTTCTCAGTTCAGCGAAGTAAAACGCGGATTCGGGCTTTAAGTCCATCACTTCATAGAAGTAAACTCTACTGACATAGTAACTTTGCTTTCAATAGTTTACTTTGCTTTCGATGATAGCTATCAAGTTAGATAGCTAAAGAATATTTATTTATGCTACCAAATATCTGAACTTCCTAAACAATGTTGTATTGCTAGCTCACTAACAATTAAGACCTGGGCTGAAAAATCCCGGTCCTAACAAAAAAAACACGGTTGTTTTTGTTCAAAATTGGCTTTATTTATAAATTTAATATCAATCAAGAGGAACACAATCATTCCAGCGCCGCTGTAATATATCAACACCAGCGAGCATTCTTTTTAAGTCTGCGAACAACCAATCGTCGATGAGAGCCAACTCTGGAGAATATGGCGGATACGGCAGTACATCAAAGTGTATTTCATGCATTTTTATACTCTCGCAACTTGTTGCTTCAGAGTATAATAGTTTTGTTCACCTAACGGTTGTTTGTATCACCTAAAACTAATCGAGTTAGATATAGAGTTATGTATATATAAATGATCAGGATGAAGAGACGAGTTGAAAACCGGGTGACTGTCTGTCCGTCCGTCCGTGCAAGCTGTAACTTAAGTAAAAATTGAGATATCTTTATGAAACTTGGTAGACATATTTCTTGGTGCCGTGAAACGGTTGGTATTGCAGATGGGCGAAATCGGACCACTGCCACGCCCACAAAACGCCATTAATCAAAAACAAATAAGTTGCCATAACTAAGCTCCGCAATAAGATACAATACTGTTATTTGGTACAAAGGATCACATTAAGGAGGGGCATATGTAGTTAAAATTTGTTTTTTTAAAGTGAGCGTGGTCCCGCCCCTAATAGGTTTAATGTGCATATCTGCTAAACTGCTAAAGCAATAATAACAAAATTCACTGGAAGAAAATGTTATTAGCACCTCTACCTACAGTGTGAAAATGGGTGAAATCGGGTGTAGAAGGTTAGCACTAACTGAAAATAAGGTGAATTCAATAAAACTACCACCATCTAATATGATTATGAATGTGCTAAAAATCGACAGCAGAATAAAAAGCGATCCGAAATTCCTCACACATCCTCTTTTCCCCAAGAAGCTGCTTATTTGTCAGAATTGTAGATATCGGACCACTATAGTGTATAGCTGCCATATGAGGTGTGTTCAAAAAATAGCGGGATTTTTGTTTTTTTGAAAAAGACTTACTCATTTATCTACATTAATGTTATCACCTTCAAAACAGTCTCCATTCGACACTATAGAGTTATGCAAGTGTTTCTTCCAATTGTCGTAACACTTCTCAAACTGGAATTTTTGGAAATAAGAAAAAGTCACACGGACCACTATAGCTTATAGCTGTCAAACAAACTGACCAATCAAAATTAAACTTTTGCATGGAAAACTTTTTTATTTGCAAAGAGTATTATAACCGAAGTTAGTTTTCTTATTTCTTATTGTATATACAACTAGGTAAATGTTCCATGTACAATACATATACTCGTATATAAAGTCTCTTTCAGCACACCCACTCATACAAATTTTATTTACTTTAACATCAAAGCAAAACTAAATCAACTAATTGCTTCCGCTTTTTATTAAATTAACATTTTTGTCGCGGCTTTAAGCGCAGCTGCTTTTATGTAACCTCAGCCTTTGAAATTAACACAAAGTGGCAGCCCCTTATATACTGGTGTGTGTAATATGCACCTTGTTAGATTCCATGTGTAGTAGATAATAGTTTTTGGCCTTAGCCACTTTGATGCAACATTCGTGTAGTAGAAAAGTGGCTGCAACTGAAGCAAATTGACTGAAACAGAAGCTCAAAGCAAAGTACCAAAGCTCTAAAGCACTCTAGCGCTGGTAGAAAGTATCTTTGAGAATAAAAGGGTAACCTAAACCTAAACAGTTTTTCCCTGTTTTTTTTTACTATATAAGCGTTGGAAAGCGCTAAAATATTGTAGATGCAAATATTTTAATTTATTACTACGAGTATAAGCAGCGCTTGCTGGCTTGCTTGCATTATTCTTACATTTTTAGGTCCTTTATGCAACACATAAGTAAATTTGTATGAGTACATTTTTGTGCACAAAAAGTTAGAACGGCAGCCGAGCGCAAAGGTGAGAGCCTCCGTCTCTTACTGCTCGCACGTAATGGCCTGACGTGGGTAATTAAAATATTAGCGCATGAATTTTTATTGCAAAATTATTTTCCGCTGCAAAAGTGTTGAAAGTTTGAGAAAAGCTTGACATTTTAATATACGCTTTGATGTTGCTGGTGGAAAAAAAGAAATCAAAGAAAGAGGTTTCAAAAATTACCGGAAATGTTGCATTAGCACACGGAAGGCAAACAAAGTGCAATAATTGTGGAGAAAATGTTTACAATTACAAAAATGCATATAAAACTATATACATAGGCATATTTTGTTGATGGATGATGGAATGTAAATGAAAAATGAAGTTACAAAGAAAATAATTGTTAATCATCGCCTAAAATTTATTACTGAATAGTAGTCTTCCTAGGTATATCTTTGTATGTCATAATCTATTTCTACAATATTGAGCTTTTAATAAGCTAGAAATTTAAAAGAAATTTAGTAATCTTATGAATATTTAGAATATGAATATTATATACAACCAATAAGGGAAATCCTTAACTGTTCTAAGCATTGTGAGCATAATGATTTTAAATGCATACATGTGTATTTTATTATATAATATATATATACTCGTAAAGGAAATTATACTAAATCATTTGTTAGAGGTACCGGAAATGGCTTATGGTGAGTTGGCATGCTAAAAGTAAGGTACTGAAAAAAGTAGGCGAAATTGCTAATTCCACGGTTATGGTTGTCGACTGGTAGCTGAGGAGCAGTGTCACACTTTCGGGCACTAGTAATTTAGAAATGACGTAAGTTGTAAGGTGGGCTACGTCAGAAATTGATGAATATAAATGCTGGAGTTAAATTTTTACTACGTCGGCGTGAAAAGAAATCACATAAGACGCTATATATGTATATAAAAGATCAGCATGATGAGCTGAGTATTTTTAGCCATGTCCGTCTGCCTTTATATACGTGAACTAGTTCCTCAGTTTTTGAGATATCGAGCTGAAATTTTAAATACCCTTGATAAAAGAAATGCACCTGTGAAGATATTATAGTTTACGTGCAGATATGGTTAACGTTTTTTCTTGTTTTTGTAAAAATTTAGAAAAAATATAAATTTTGTGCTTTCCAGGTAAAGCTAGAAAATTATTTAAAGATTGAGAAGAATTAGCTAAACGAATTATAGTTCAAAAAGAATTAACGAATATGGAACAAAAGCGGTCGTCAGTTCAGTAACAATAATCGGCATTATACGAAAGATAGATTTTGAATCAGAACGCAAATAGCGAGCAAACGTTGGCTGAAACTCGCATTGATTTCGATTCCAGCTATACAATATATAGATCATCGTAATGAGTGATGCAGTTGACTTTGGCTCGATAAAAATTGATTTATAACCTTTTTGGATGTAAACAAACACAATAATGGTTGATGAAAAATCACAAAAATATAAAATACTTTAATAAAGACATATAAGACTTTATAATTAAAATATTAACTTATGGTCTTTCATCTTACGACAAACAGGTTCAGGACAAATACAGTTATGGCAATTTCTTCTAGAACTACTATCCGACTCTGGCAATGCGGCTTGCATTACCTGGGAAGGCACAAATGGTGAATTCAAATTAACCGATCCCGATGAGGTGGCCAGACGTTGGGGTGAACGCAAATCAAAACCGAATATGAATTATGATAAGCTGAGTCGTGCGTTAAGGTAAGTTGAATGCACAACAACAATAATCTATTACGAATTACAAAATAAGGTATCATAAATATGAAATTATGAATAGCGCAAAACGTAGAAAAAAAACAACAAAAGTGTATTATAAGTAAATCAAATTTTTTTGCCTTACCACAATTGTTGCCGCCGCGCAAAACACAAAACACGGACAATGGGCTGTGACAAATGCGATTTGCGACAAAACAAACCTTTAAGGATGCGCACATTAAAAAGACAGTTGTTATTGTGGTATAAGTGCAACGAATTAAATATTAATACCTTGAGCATTAAACACAGGCAAACGGAGCAGGGTGGTTCGTGCAGTTTTCATTATGTCTACAAATGCATATAAATGTATATGCCCGTTAGGCTCACCCTTCACCATTACGATGCTGCTTTGGTGCTTAATTAGCAATCACTGTGGCGTACAAGTGACCACATAGCGTGCATGCCACGTTGCCAACGCTGCTGTGATGATTGCTCAGCTTGAGCCACTTTATTAAGGTCGGTCATTAGGGTACATGATGAGCGAAATTGTTGTGTTGAACGGTTGTGATTGGAATACTTAACTAGATTATGATGTCTTCGAGACTATTGTACACAAATAAGCGTATATCTAGCTCATTATACACCTTTCGAGCGCTATCGAGCTCGCTCTTATCTTTCTAGATTATACATATGTACACTTAGTTGCTATTACTATTACTTACCATTTGTTTGGGTGTGTTATTAGTTTTCTCAAAATGCGAGCATGTGCCCAATTTGCTGGCATTTATCAGGGTAATTGAGCATTGATTAGTGCAATTGGTTTTTGCAGGCGAGCGATGCAAGGCTTGATGAAGGCAAAAAATAAGTAAAATCATACAAAAATTGCCATTTTCCAACCAAAAATCATGATGTTATACTTCTTCATTTTCATTGATTGATTTGTGTGCTTTGAGATTAAAGTGCCGACCCGCCCATTCATTTTGAATGTAATAAAATAATTTTTGTTTGTTTTCTTACATATCGTAGGTGAGCTCACATATGCCATATGTGACAGTTTTCGTGCAATCGCACATACACACTCAGACATGTGTAGGTTTACATATATACCAACAAATTGTTTTTCGTCTGCCGAAATCAAATAAAAGCTCACAGCATACTTTTTGGATTGGAATTGAAATACTAAATCAAAAATTGTGGTGTGTTTTGTGCACCCGTAGTGGTGATAACGCAAGCAATAGCAAGCAACAACAATGCTAAAATGTAATTTGAAATTTTTTTATTACACAATAAATGCTCACTGTGCAGCCTAATTGTATTTATAAAGGTTTTTAACAGCAAAGGGGGATTTGAAGTATGTAAAAATGGGTATGTTTATAACTGCGACAGAAAATGGACTTAAGAAGTAAACATTTTTTTCTTCAACAAATTCTTTATAGTAAACTCCAGTTTTGGTGGTGATTGAGCTTAATATATCTTAGACGTCATAACTTTGGTGAAAATAATCGATGTAGCTGGAATCGGTATGAGTCGCCTCAACTAATATTTGATAGGCGCAAAGAGCTACGTCGATAATTGATATCACAAACCGGCGGTGATTTCTGTTATCCAAGTGGGGTTCCCATAATATCTGTCGGGAAAGTTGGTTCCGCAACCAAACCTAACTTATCCTACTCTCTATTATCAGTAATTTTAAAGAACTCATCCTTTTTTCATAAAATACTACTATATCTTTCTTTACTCTTTACCTTCTTAAGTACTTAAGAAGTACTTACTTAAACCAGTTTTAATTTGCTATTCCATACTTGCTCTGAAAATTCACTTACGCCCTTTTCTCCCAAAGGAGTTGTCTAATTGGCGAAATCGCCGATATGGGACTACTATAAGATATATCTGCCATACAAATTGATCGATCGAAATCAAGTGCTTGTATGGAAAACTTTTTTATTTGATGAGATATCTTCACGAAATTCGGCATAGATTATTACTGAAGGCAACGTTACTATCAGGGAAAGATGTTACAACTTCGGTGCAGACAAAGTTAACGTTTTTTTTTTTAAAGGTTATACACTACATAATTCTGTGACTATCTTTGAAAGAGACAGAGTTCTCAGTCGAAAATATATTGGAAGGAAATGTTAAACAAAACAATATCCCCGCTCTCCTTTCTCGCTCTGTCTAATTTAATGGTTTTCGAGCTGCTAAAAACTTTCCTAACCTAGGACCTTGATTTTTAAATTGTAACTCCAAAGTTTCTCAAATTACTGTCTAACCTCCTTCAGTGTTAAAATACAAGTATCCTTGCAGGAATTATATAAATAAAACAAGGGCTCTATAAATGAAAAAAGGCTTAGATACATAAACATAAAGTTTCCCTTAAACATTTTTACTACTTTATGAAAAAAATGTGTCCACTACGAAATTCGTTAAAAATCGCAAATTGGCCCAAAGTGCAATCTACTTGAGAAATATGAAAGCCAAGAAGCACAATTCTGCCGTTTAACTCCCTAAAATCGAGAACGAAGTAATCAAGCTAATCCAACAACACCCCCGAGCAAGATTGATTGGTAAATAAACAAGTGGAGAAAAAAGGATTAAAGTAAACCATTTAGTGACAGCTTCAAGTGTCCAACAGTCAAACAACACCAAAAAGGACATATAACACACACGCGCAAACTCTGAATACTAACAACGATGCTCAAAGGCACCATACCATTTTAGGGTTAATGTCATACATTAACACATGGCTAAACAGCACAAATGAGACATTCAGGCGGCAGCCAGACACTTTGACGTCAACAATGAGGATGAGCCATACATGCTTAAAAGGATGCTGAGGTTGATGGAGCTGATGACTAGCATTTACTTAATGTTATTGTTGTGTTGATTGAGCTAGTGTTAATCACAAACACTCCCATGACACGTATGGACCGCATACACACTCACACAGATGCAATTTAGTACAACAAACACACGGTAAACGACAAGTGTTTGCTTGAATGGTTAATTTGGTGCGCATATTAAAAGAAGTGCGAAAAAATCAAAGCATACTTTAGGGCACATATGAGCATCTGCAGAAGTTGGTGGCTTGAGTTTCTTAGCAAACATCAAAGTTAAATTGAGCGTTCAATGGCGTAAAAGAGATGCATTAGTGTCTCGCACAACTCCTTCACTGCTGCCGCCTTTTAAATACCAAATACACAAAAGGCTCCAGATATGACAACCACACCTACTGCTGCGTGTAAGTATGGTGAATGTGGTTCAAGAAAACAGAATTGGTAGCTTCATTATTACCATCACCAACAGCGGCACCATTAACACTCACATTATCAGCATTATCCTTTCAGAGGTGAGTAGTTGTTGTTGGCGTGTCTGGCAGCTACATCAAAGTGATTGTTGGCTGAAAATCATTGGCAGCAACAATTTCATTTGACAACATTTGCATACATTATCGACTACTCCGCTTTTGATTGTTTGCAACACACATATATGTAAGTTGTTGCAACAACTGAATTGCTTTGTTGTTGTTTGTAAAAAAAATTCTCAAAAATCACAGCAACCAAATTGGCTTAAAGATACGACAATTTCTCCATTTTTTGCGTTTATTTTTCATCTGCCAATTCGCTGGCACTTTTCCACTTGAGCTGGCATTCCAGTTGAGATTACTTGGCTTATTTGCGTATTTGCACATGCGAAGTGACAACAATGACAGTACTTTCGGTCCATATATCTGCACTCGCACATCAGCAAGTTTGTATGTATGTACAAGTATGTATGTAAATCATTGCTTGCCGCATGCATTTGAAGTATAAGTGTGCGCTTGTTGGTATATGTGTGTGTATTGAAGTGTATGTGTCAACGCTTTTCTTTTTGCTGATTGCAAATGACAGCTCAATTGACAGCATTTTTTTCGTATTTTTAAAAAGATCCTTTAAAAGGGGTAAATACGCCGTTATTTTCATTTCGGACAGCTTTTACTTTTTAACGCATGTACATAAATACAGCGCATTTGTTGTTGTGTACATAGCAAATTGGGTGGAGAATTGGTCAATTGGCATTGATTTGAGCACTTTTGTGTAAATACAACATTAAAATATTGAGAAGGACGTTGATAAAAAGCAAATACTTTTTTCGTTAAAATATCTGACGTTGATAAAAAGCAAATACTTTTTTCGTTAAAATATTTGTGGTGTTTTTGCTATAAAGATATACTAAAGGCAGTTATGCCTCAAGGTGTAGAATGTCTTTTTTATGTATTGTACATACATAACATATCTATATTTATTTGTAAAAGTCAAAATCTAAAAATATAATTGAAATCTGTTCCAGAAAACTTTTTATAATGAAATATAAAATAAAACTTTTCGGTATAATAAACGAGCCCTACAAAAAAAAAATATTTTCTGCAGCACCACTTTTTCGCTTTTTAATTAAAATTGAAGAAAATTTCTGTAGCTTAATATTTTGTGAATCAATACAGCTTACAGATTTGGCTTTCAGTTTTCTTCTCGAAGTTATGATTGGTTAAATATAAGTAAATATTTATTATTTAAGAAAAAGTTTTTTTGAATTTAAAACTCCCAGCTTAAAATATCAATATTTTTCTTTGATATGTTAAATGACCTTTTGAACGTTTTTCGAGTATTATCTTACAAAGCTTTTGCTTTAGTCGATTCCAACTTTTCCAATTCCAACATCCTTATTTGATTTTAAATCATTTATTGAATAGAAGAATGGGCAGGTTTGGAAGCAAAGAAATCGGAGTGGGATACGACTAAGCCTTAGTATTCTTCTTTTGCTGGAAACTTATATATTAGATTTATAATTTTCAAAGGCCTACATTCTATTAGAAGGATGTATTAGAATTCTTGGTATTTTACATAAAACCCTAAGAAACCTATATAAGTCAACTATCAAAATATTCGTATATATTAGTGCAGACTTATACATATTTATTAGAATTACTATGAGTTTCTTCAGTAGTCACAAAATGAGCAAGAGCTTATGAA